ACTGGCGCCTTCGGTGGAGCTCCCTATGAGACCAAGAACCGTTTGAGGGGTGCGCCGACATGGGGCGGGGCCGTCATGCAAACCCTGCCACTGGCGCCTTCGGTGGAGCTCCCTATTGGGCAACGATCCTCGTGAAGGGTGCGCCGAAATTGGGCGGGGCTGCCATGCGAACCCTGCGACTGGGGCCTTCGATGGAGCTCCTTATGGTGCCACGAACCGCGTGATGGGTGTGCCGAAATGAGCCGGGGCCGCCATGCGAACCTTGCCACTGGCGCCCTCGGTGGAGCTTCCCACGGGGCCACGAGCCGTGTGAGGGATGCGCCGAAATGGACCGGGGCCGCCATGCGAACCCTGCCATTGGCGCCCTCGGTGGAGCTCCCTGTGGGGCAACGTTGGGCATTAGCTCGAGCTTCTTATGGGGCCACGAAACGCTTGAGGGTTGTGCCGAAATGGGGCGGGGTCGCCATGCGTACTTTCCCTCTGGGGCCTTAGGTGGAGCTCCCCATGGGGCCACGAAACGTGTGAGGGGTGTGCCGAAATGGGGCGAGGCCGTCATGCGAATTTTCCCTCTGGGGCCTCAGGTGGAGCTCCCTATGGGGCCACGAAACGTGAGAGGGGTGTGCCAAAATGGGCCAGGGCGGCCATGCGAACCTTTCCCTCTGGGGCCTTAGGTGGAGCTTCCTATGGGGCCACGAAACGTGTGAGCGGTGTGCCGAAATGGGGCGAGGCCGCCATGCAACCTTTCCCTCTGGGGCCTTAGGTGGAGCCCCCTGTGGGGCCACGAACCATGTGAGGGGGGGGGGGGGGCCGAAATGAAGCGAGGCGGCCATGCCACCTTTCCCTCTGGCGCCTCAGGTGGAGCTCCCCATGGGGCCACGAAACGTGTGAGGGGTGTGCCGAAATGCGGCGAGGCCGTCATGCGAACTTTCCCTCTGGGGCCTTAGGTGGAGCTCCCTATGGGGCCACGAAACGTGTGAGGGGTGTGCCGAAATGGGGCGGGGCTGGCAGCGCGGATGCTCAGGATGACTATGAAGCAGAGGTTGGTGATGATGATGATGATGATGATGATGGATGATGATGATGATGAATGATGATGATGATGATGATGATGATGATGATGATGATGATGATGATGATGATGATGATGATGATGATGATGATGATGATGATGATGATGATGATGATGATGATGATGATGATGGGAGGAGGGGGAAGAGGGAGGAGGGGGAGGAGGAGGAGGAGGAGGAGGAGGAGGAGGAGGAGGAGGAGGAGGGTGAGTGAGTGAGTGAGTGAGTGAGCGAGTGAACAGGTGGGACGCGGGGCGCTGTCTCTTCAAAACGAGGACCCAACACCACAGGATGGTTGGGAAAGAAAAATGTTCTACCCCCCCCCCCCGACTTAACCATCCACCTTTTTCGTATTGCAATTTACTTATTATTATGCCCCATCGTCCATCCTCACTATGAATTTACACTATCCCATGGGGGGGCGGTATCGCCCCCCCCTCCCGCCATCCTCTGCAAATTACCCTGCGACGTACCCAACCATTTTTATACATGTGGCGCTTATATTCAGGACCACTCAATGCTGACTGGCATTCTAAAGGACCCGCAGTGCGCAAGAAGAGCACTCAGGAGTGAAATCAGAAGAGAGCATCAAGAAGAGGAACAGCAAACATACAAAATGGAAGCACAAGGGCGTTGAAAGAAACACAAAAGCGGGGGGCGGCGAGGGCTAAACCAGAACATCGGTTTAACTCAGCAACGCGCTGCGCTGAAAGAGTCAAATGCATGAGGTGCATAACGGGGGCGGAGACTCATCCAAAAGTGGAGACAAAAGGGCGCGGCAGCGAACCCAAAGAAAAGAACCCAAAAAGTGGAAGCAAAAGGTCGCGGCCTCGAGGATAAGCAGGAGCACCCAGAAGTGGACGCAGGAGGGCGCGGTTAAAAAAGTACCCATTAAGTGGATACAAAAGAGCACGGCAGCGAAAGCAACGGAGCTCGTCGTCGTCGTCACCGCCGTCCCTGCCTCCTCCTCCTCCTCCTCCTCCTCCTCCTCCTCCTCCTCCTCCTCCTCCTCCTCCTCCTCCTCCTCCTCGTCCTCGTCCTCGTCCTCCTCCTCCCACCTCCTCCTCACTCCCCCTCTTCTGCCCCTTCCAGGTGTGGGAGCCGTCCAGGGGACCTCCTCCGGGTTCGACGCCCACCTCCAGGGCGCACGCTCGCGCCCAAGAGGCCCTCCGAAAGCCCCGAAGAGGCCCTAAGACGACCCCACACGGGCCCCAAAGCCGTTTCCAAGAGGCCCCCAAGCCGCCAACCACGAGATCCCCACGAGCACTCCAGTGGCCTCGGGCCCACCACCCAGTCACCGCATGGGACGTACCTCCGCTGGGCCTCCCAGGAGCCCACGAAAGTGGCGACAGTTTGCGCAGATCGCAAGCCCGGGAACGGCGAGGTACCGAGGTGATCCGCGTGGGACGCACCTCCGCTGGGCCTCCCAGCAGCCCACGAAAGTGGCGACAGTTGCGCAGATCGCAAGCCCCCCCAGGGGGCGGCGAGGTACCGAGGTGATCCGCGTGGGACGTACCTCGGCTGGGCCTCCCAGCAGCCCACGAGAGTGGCGACAGTTGCGCAGATCGCAAGCCCCCCAGGGGGCGGCGAGGTACCGAGGTGATCCGCGTGGGACGTACCTCCGCTGAGCCTCCCAGTAGCCCACGAGAGTGGCGACAGTTGCGCAGATCGCAAGCCCCCCAGGGGGCGGCGAGGTACCCAGGTGATCCGCGTGGGACGTACCGGCGCTGGGCCTCCCAGCAGCCCACGAAAGTGGCGACAGTTGCGTAGATTGCAAGCCCCCCAGGGGGCGGCGAGGTACCGAGGTGATCCGCGTGGGACGTACCTCCGCTGGGCCTCCCAGGAGCCCACGAAAGTGGCGACAGTTGCGCAGATCGCAAGCCCCCCAAGGCCGAGGTGGCCGAGGTAGAGCGTGATCCGCGTGGGACGTACCTCCCGCTTGCGCTCCCCCCCAGAGCCCACAAAAGTGGCGACAGTTGCGCAGATCGCAAGCCCCCCAGGGGGCGGCGAGGTACCGAGGCGATCCGCGTGGGACGTACCTCCGCTGGGCCTCCCAGGAGCCCACGAAAGTGGCGACAGTTGCGCAGATCGCAAGCCCCCCAGGGGGCGGCGAGGTACCGAGGTGATCCGCGTGGGACGTACCTCCGCTGGACCTCCCAGCAGCCCACGAAAGTGGCGACAGTTGCGCAGATCGCAAGCCCCCCAGGGGGCGGCGAGGTACCGAGGTGATCCGCGTGGGACGTACCTCCGCTGGACCTCCCAGCAGCCCACGAAAGTGGCGACAGTTGCGCAGTCACAAGCCCCCCAGGGGGCGGCGAGGTACTGAGGTGATCCGCGTGGGACGTACCTCCGCTGGGCCTCCCAGGAGCCCACGAAAGTGGCGACAGTTGCGCAGATCGCAAGCCCCCAGGGGGCGGCGAGGTACCGAGGTGATCCGCGTGGGACGTACCTCCGCTGGGCCTCCCAGGAGCCCACGAAAGTGGCGACAGTTGCGCAGATCGCAAGCCCCCCACGGGGCGGCGAGGTACCGAGGCGATCCGCGTGGGACGTACCTCCGCTGGGCCTCCCAGTAGCCCACGAAAGTGGCGACCGTTGCGCAGATCGCAAGCTCCCCCCCGGGGGCGGCGAGGTACCGAGGTGATCCGCGTGGGACCGTACCTCCGCTGGGCCTCCCAGCAGCCCACGAAAGTGGCGACAGTTGCGCAGATCGCGAGCCCCCCAGGGGGCGGCGAGGTACCGAGGTGATCCGCGTGGGACGTACCTCAGCTGGGCCTCCCAGGAGCCCACGAAAGTGGCGACAGTTTGCGCAGATCGCAAGCCCCCCAGGGGGCGGCGAGGTGCCGAGGTGATCCGCGTGGGACGTACTTCCGTTGGGCATCCCAGGAGCCCACGAAAGTGGCGACAGTTGCGGTGATCGCAGACGGCACGAGAGAAGAGGAGAAGGGAACACAGGAGACAGGAGAGAAGGAGGAGATCAATTACGCTAACGGAGTTCCCCACATAAAGAGATTAACGGTTTCGTGGGACCCATTTTCTTGATGCCCTCCTCGTTTTGGCGGGGCCCCGCTGGAAGGGGGGAGGGCTACGAAACCGGGCGAAGAGTAATGCTTTCCGCGACCCTCCTCGTTCAAGCGCGGCCTCTCTGGAGGAGTGGAGGGGGGACACGAAACCGTGTAAACAGCATGTTTTCCGATAATTACCCTCCAGGAAGAGGAGGAGGAGGAGGAGGAGGAGGAGGAGGAGGAGGAGGAGGAGAAGGAAGAGGATAAGATGGGTGATGGTGAAGAGCAGCAGCAGGAACCGCAGCAGGAGCAGCAGCGGGAGGTTGGTTTGAGTGGTTTCATTTTCCTCGTGAGGTCCGATTCGTGAGGTTGGTCTGAGTGGTCTCATTTTCCTCGTCCAGTCGAGGTTATACAAGAGGGTGGGCGACACGAGTTCGCTAGACGAAAGCACTAGCCGAGGTGTCTGGTAACTAGAATTCGAACGCAGACACTGATAGGCCAAGAGCGGTTTAAAAGACCACCAACAATCTCCCAAACAATGTATCGCTGCATTATGGTTTTGTGCACACGGCGTTAACCTACTAGCCTGACTGTACTCGGGCCGACGCGTGGGGGGGGCTTCTCTTAAGCCCACGCGGAGTGCTATTTAATCGCAGCCACTGCAGTGAAGACCAATTGTAGTACGATTCCAAGTCACCTCCACCTGCTGCAACGCAAGCGCCGCTACAACAGCAGACCGAAGCAGCGGGGGCGACCAGCGGTGGGCGGACGCAGCTCACCCCTCGACCAGCCCGCGGCTGCGGACTGTCATGTCCGCAGCCGCGGAGGGGCCAGCGGCCTCGTCCAGCGCGCGCTTGCGCTTCATTGGCGTAATGGGGTGGCCGAAGTTCAGCGGCGTGTCCTTCGCGATCGCCAACGTCTTGTTCATGAACTACGCCCACAACGCTGCGTCGGGCGGGGTCACCTTGTGGTGTGTCTGAACAACGAAAGTGTTGTCGTTCTTCCGTTTTGTAGCACTCAGGAAGAACGTCCCGTCGGCGCGGACCAGCCATTGCACGGCGCTGGAGAGGCCGCTGGCAGTGAACTGGAATTTCGCTGGCGCCTCCTGGCCCGCGGGCTCGAGGGCGCACGTGGCCACCCGCGTGACGCGAAGGCCCTGCGCGGTGTCGGGCACCGTCGTCTCCTCGTCCTCATCCGGGTCCTGGAAGGTGACGAGGACGCGGACGGAGGTGACCGTCGAGCCGTCCACGACAGCGAAGCCCAGGTCTGGGTCGAAGGTCACGGAGGCGCACTTCGCGAAAGGGCACGCGGTGTTGCTGAAGGTGATAGGGGTCGGGTCCAGGCGCCACGAGCCGACGACGCCGTCGGACGTGAGCGTGGGCAACAGCAGCTTGGCCTCCAGGTTGCTCACTTCGCGCAGCGCGTTGATGCGGTAGATCAAGCGGACGGAGTAGGGGGCGGCGCGGAGCGTCTGGAGGAACTTCCGGAAGCTCGGGTCCTCGGCGGTCGAAGGATCAGGGAAGCCTGGAATCTGCATGGCCACGTCGTGGTAGAGCATGGCAGCGCAGTGGCCCGTGCCATCGGTCAACTCGAGCTGGATGATCCACCGCGACTCGATTGGGGCCTCGCCGTGCTCGTCGCACCTGCCGTGGTCGCCGTCCGGGACCTGCTTCTCGCACGTCGCGCAGCAGCGCATGACGAAGCCTTCGTTGCGCAAGACAGGGGTCACGCCCATGATCGCTACGCTGTGAGCTTCGTACACTCCATCGAGGTCCCGGGCGTTGCCAGGCACGATGACCGCCGTCAATGCAGACAGCGACGCCGTGCAGGTCTCGCAAATTTTGTAGTCCTTCGCGATCGTAGCTGAGAGGGATGTCGCTGGGCAACGGCAGTCCCTTCAGCCCACTCGGCAAGCTTCGTTGCGTGGCGGCGCCAGAAGGAACACTTAATGGTGGCGTCGCCGGCCCGGAGGATCGCGTTGCAGACGCACCCGGGGCCGTACCTCGTCTCCTGCCACTTCGCCCCGGGCTGGCGCGCAACGACGCCGAAGACACAGTGCTGAACGTCGGACTGAACCTTGGTGATCTTCGCGATGTCCAGGAATGGATGGTGCGTGGGAACTGTAGCCCACGTGCCCTCCGCGGGGGCCGTCTCTATCACGCTCTTCGAGCCCGCCTTCGTCTTGAGCTGGACGTAGTACGGCAGACGCGACGTGATGTACTGGTTGGCCTTGTGGATGATGTTTACGTTGGAGAACGTCAGCAAGTTCTTCTCCGTCTTCGCTGTCGTGGCCTTGGTGTGTAGGTCTGTGGCCGCGGGGCCGAATGCCTCCACGAACGCGATCTCGCCCATCCCGTCGCCGCCCACGCATCATCATCATCATCACCAGCATCGTCGTCGTCGTCATCATCACCATCATCATCATCATCATCATCATCGTCATCATCATCGGCATCATCATAACCATCATCAGCATCAGCATCATCATCAGCATCATGATCATCATCATCATCCTCATCATCATCATCGTCGTCGTCATCATCATCGCCGTCGTCATCGTCCGTCACCATGATCGCCATCGTCATCGTCATCGTGAACAGCAGCATAACCATCGTCATCACCATCATCATGATGATGCCTTCCTCATCGCAGAACTCCCCCTCCTCCTCACCCTCCTCAGTGGGGAGGAGTAGGACGTGAGATGGATAGGTAATCTTTTCCCCTCCTCATCACCCTCCTCAGTGGGAGGAGTAGGACGTGAGATGGATAGGTACAATTCTCCCATCGCGTCCGCACTCAAGCACTCCCCCAGCTGCCGTCACGACTCCACCTCCTGGTCCTCCTCCTGCTCCTCCTCCCCCTCCTCCTCCTCATCGTCCTCCTCCTCCTGCCCCTCTTCATCGTCCTCCTCTTCCTCCTGCCCCTCTTCCTCCTCCTCCGCCTCCTCATGCTTTTCATCCTTCTCCTGATCATCCCTCTCCTCATCCTGGTCCTCATCATCCCCCTCCTCGTCAGCATAATCCTCCGCATCATGAGCAGCAGGCAGAGCCTCCTTGGAAGCGTGGGAAAGTCACGAAACCGTGTAAATAGGAAGGTTTTCCGGTACCCTCCTCGCTCAGGCGGGGCCTCCCTGGAAGCGCGGGCGAGTCACGAAACCTTGTACATGTAGTAAGGGTTTCTGATACCCTCCTCGCTCAGGCGGGGCCTCCGTGTAGGCGTGGGAAAGGTACGAAACCATGTAAATTGTATGGGTGGGTTTCCGATACCCTCCTCGCTCAGGCGGGGCCTCCCTGGAGGGGTGGGAGGGGCACGAAACCTGGTAAATAGTGCGGGTTTCCGATACCCTCCTCGCTCAGGCGGAGCCTCCCTGGAGAGGTGGGAAGGGCATGTAAATACACTGGTATGCCGATACCCTCCTCGCTCAGGCGGGGCCTCCCTGGAGGGGTGGGAGGAGCACGAAACCGTGTAAGTAGTATGGTATGCCGATACCCTCCTCGCTCAGGCGGGGCCTCCCTGGAGAGGCGGGAGGGGCACGAAACCTGGTATGCCGATGCCCTCATCGCTCAGGCGGGGCCTCCCTGGAGGGGCGGGAGGGGCACGAAACTTGGTAAATAGTATGGTATGCCGATACCCTCCTCGCTCAAGCGGGGCCTCCCTGGAGTGGAGGGAGGAGCACGAAACCGTGTAAGTAGTATTGTATGCCGATACCCTCCTCGCTCAGGCGGGGCCTCCCTGGAGAGGCGGGAGGGGCACGAAACTTGGTAAGTAGTATGGTATGCCGATGCCCTCATCGCTCAGGCGGGGCCTCCCTGGAGGGGCGGGAGGGGCACGAAACCTGGTAAATAGTATGGTATGCCGATGCCCTCCTCGCTCAGGCGGGGCCTCCCTGGAGGGGTGGGAGGAGCACGAAACCTGGTAAATAGTATGGTATGCCGATACCCTCCTCGCTCAGGCGGGGCGTCCCTGGAGGGGCGGGAGGGGCACAAAACCTTGTAAATAGTATGTATGCCGATACCCTCCTCGCTCAGGCGGGGCGGGGCCTGCCGATGGAGGGGCGGGGGGGCACGAAACCGGTAAATAGTATGGTATGCCGATACCCTCCTCGCTCAGGCGGGGCCTCCCTGGAGGGGCGGGAGGGGCACGAAACAGTGTAAATAGTATGGTATGCCGATACCCTCCTCGCTCAGGCGGGGCCTCCCTGGAGGGGCGGGAGGGGCACGAAACTTGGTAAATAGTATGGTATGCCGATACCCTCCTCGATCAGGCGGGGCCTCCCTGGAGGGGCGGGAGGGCAACGAAACTTGGTAAATAGTATGGTTTGCCGGTACCCTCCTCGCTCAAGCGGGACCTCCCTGGAGGGGTGTGAGGGGTACGAAACTTGGTAAATAGTATGGTATGCCGATACCCTCCTCGTTCAGGCGGGGCCTCCCTGGAGGAGCGGGAGGAGCACGAAACTTGGTAAATAGTATGGTATGCCGATGCCCTCCTCGCTCAGGCGGGGCCTTTCTGGAGGGGCGGGAGGGGCACGAAACCTGGTAAATAGTATGGTATGCCGATACCCTCCTCGCTCAGGCGAGGTACCTCCGCTGGGCCTCCCAGTAGCCCACGAAAGTGGCGACCGTTGCGCAGATCGCAAGCCCACCACGGGGCGGCGAGGTACCGAGGTGATCCGCGTGGGACCCTCGGCTGGGCCTCCCAGGAGCCCAGGATAGTGGCGACAGTTGCGCAGATCGCAAGCTCCCCCCCGGGGGCGGCGAGGTACCGAGGTGATCCGCGTGGGACGTACCTCCGCTGGGCCCCCCGGCAGCCCACGAAAGTGGCGACCGTTGCGCAGATCGCAAGCCCACCACGGGGCGGCGAGGTACCGAGGTGATCCGCGTGGGACGTACCTCGGCTGGGCCTCCCAGGAGCCCACGAAAGTGGCGACAGTTTGCGCAGATCGCAAGCCCCCCAGGGGGCGGCGAGGTGCCCAGGTGATCCGCGTGGGACGTACTTCCGTTGGGCATCCCAGGAGCCCACGAAAGTGGCGACAGTTGCGGTGATCGCAGACGGCACGAGAGAAGAGGAGAAGAGAACACAGGAGACAGGAGAGAAGGAGGAGAGGAGGAGGGGAGGCGGAGGAGGTGGGGACCACACTTCTCTATTCAAAACGAGTACCCAACACCACAGGAGGGTTGGGAAAAATACTATGCGCGCACACTCGTTTATCAACAGTCATAAGTTGCCAAGAATCCGTCGCAAAAATCAGGACGAAGTGCACACGCGCGCGTCGTCGCGCGCGCATGCCGAAATCCATCAAAAGCCTTCGGTTTCGGGTGGATTTCAAAATCGAGTTTCCCAAAATATGCTAACGGAGTTCCCCACATAAAGAGATTAACGGTTTCGTGGGACCCATTTTCTTGATGCCCTCCTCGCTTTGGCGGGGCCCCGCTGGAAGGGGGGAGGGCTACGAAACCTGGCGAAGAGTAATGCTTTCCGCGACCCTCCTCGTTCAAGCGCGGCCTCTCTGGAGGAGTGGAGGGACGACACGAAACCATGTAAATACTTTGGTTTTCGGAAACCCTCCTCGCTCAGGCGGGGCCTCCCTGGAGGGTGGGAGGGGCACGAAACCATGTAAATAGTATGGTTTTCGGATACCCTCCTCGCTCAGGCGGGGCCTCCCTGGAGGGGTGGGAGGGGCACGAAACCATGTAAATAGTATGGTTTCCGATACCCTCCTCGCTCAGGCGGGGCCTCCCTGGAGGGGTGGGAGGGGCACGAAACCATGTAAATAGTATGGTATTTCGATACCCTCCTCGCTCAGGCGGGGCCTCCCTGGAGGGGTGGGAGGGGCACGAAACCATGTAAATAGTATGGTATTCCGATACCCTCCTCGCTCAGGCGGGGCCTCCCTGGAGGGGTGGGAGGGGCACGAAACCATGTAAATAGTATGGTATTCCGATACCCTCCTCGCTCAGGCGGGGCCTCCCTGGAGGGGTGGGAGGGGCACGAAACCATGTAAATAGTATGGTATTCCGATACCCTCCTCGCTCAGGCGGGGCCTCCCTGGAGGGGTGGGAGGGGCACGAAACCATGTAAATAGTATGGTTTCCGATACCCTCCTCGCTCAGGCGGGGCCTCCCTGGAGGGGTGGGAGGGGCACGAAACCATGTAAATAGTATGGTTTTCCGATACCCTCCTCGCTCAGGCGGGGCCTCCCTGGAGGGGTGGGAGGGGCACGAAACCATGTAAATAGTATGGTTTTCCGATACCCTCCTCGCTCAGGCGGGGCCTCCCTGGAGGGGTGGGAGGGGCACGAAACCATGTAAATAGTATGGTATTCCGATACCCTCCTCGCTCAGGCGGGGCCTCCCTGGAGGGGTGGGAGGGGCACGAAACCATGTAAATAGTATGGTATTCCGATACCCTCCTCGCTCAGGCGGGGCCTCCCTGGAGGGGTGGGAGGGGCACGAAACCATGTAAGTAGTATGGTTTTCGGTATGGAGTGGTATGGAATGGTATGGTAGGTATGGTATGGTACGGTATGGTATGATATGGTATGGTATGGTACTGGAGGTATGGTATGGTATGGTACGGTGTGGCATTGGTGTGATATGGTATGGTATGCTATGGTACGCCATGGTATGGTATGGTACGGTATGGTACGTATGGTGTGGTATGGTATGGTATGGTATGGTATGGTATGGTATGTGTGGTAGGAACTATGGTATGGTATGGTGTGTGTGGTAGGAATAATATTGTGCTGTATGGAAGATGGAGCGGGAGGTGGGTGGGAAGGAGAGGGTGTTCTGGGAAAACAAGAACCCCACTCAGGATGTGGGGGAAAAAAATATGAAAACACTGGGTTTCGCAACACTGCGTTTCAAAAAAAGTTTACGCGCGCGTTCTTGCGAATTCTTAAGAAAAACATTGGTTTTTCAACATGTTCAGAACATGCTACCAAACGGATTTCGCGCGCGCGCATGTCGAAATCGATCGAATCTTCGAATTCCCTTGCGCACGTGCCGTCGCGAGAACCCTCTGCAAAAAACGGGACGAAGTGCACGCGTGCGCGTCGTCGCGCGCGCATGCCGGAATCCTTCAAAAGCTTGCGGTTTCGGATGGATTTCAAAATCGAGTGTCCAAATACATGCAAAAACACTGGCTCTTTCAACCAGGATTTTCAACAAAAGCGAGCGCGCGCGCTCTTGCGTCGTCGTCGTCGTCGTCGCTGTCCTCCCTCCTCCCTCGTCGTCGTCGTCGTTGTCGACGTCGTCGTTCTCTGTCTTTCCTCGTCGTCGTCGTCGTCCTCCTTGGCGTCGTCGTCGTTTCCGTCGTCGTTGTCGCCGTGGTCGTCCTTCCTCCTCCCTCGTCGTCGTCGTGGTCGTCCGTCGTCGGCGTCTCGTCGTCGTCCCTCCTATTCCGTCGCCGTCGTCGTCGTCGTCGTCTTCCCTCCCTCGTCGTTGTCGTCGTTGGCGTCGCCGTCCTCCCTCCTTCGTCGTTCGCGTTGTCGCCGTCCTCCTTCCTCCCTCGTTGTTGTCGTCGTTGTCGCCGTCGTCGTCCTCCTTCCTCCCTCGTCGTCGTCGTCTTCGTTGGCGACGTCGTCGTCGTCGTCGTCTTCGTCGTCGTCGGCGCCGTCGTCGTCGTCGTCGGCGTCGTCGTCGTCGGCGTCGTCGTCGTTGTCGTCCTCGTCGTCGTTGTTGCGTTGTCGTCGTCGTCGAAGTCGTCGGAGTCGTCGTCGGTGTCGCCGTAGTCGTCGTCGGCGTTGCCGTCGTCGTCGTCGTCGTCGTTGTCGCTGTCGTCGTCGGCGTCGGTGTCGTTGCCAAGTGCCATGTGGTACCTACCGTCACGGTCTTGAGAGGTTTTGCGACCAAGTTGCGGATGGGAAGGTAGGATGGTCGCACGAGCAGTGGAGAGGACAATTTCAAGTTGAGCAAGTGATTGAGCAGAACTTAGATTGCAGCACAAAGATGGCACGAGTTCGCGATCTGTGTTTTACGCCTGCGGCGCGCTCAGTGACCGCTCACAACCAACATAAATTGCAGCACATACACTGCACAGCATACATTGCGCACTATACATTGGATAACCTAGATTCTCCTTTTTAAAAAAGAGATAGGTTCTACCAACCTACCCCCCCCCCTGGGGTTAAAGATTTACCCTGTCGCATTGCAAATTACATATGGTTCTGCCCCATCGTCCATCCGAACCGTGAATTCATAGTATCCCAGCCAGACTGGTATCGCCCCCCCCCCCCGCCATCCTCTGCAAAAAACGTTATGTGCGCACTTTCGTCTATAAAAAACATAAGGTTTCAAACATCCCTTGCAACACAGGGGACGAAGTGCACACGCGCGCGTCGTCGCGCGCATGCCGAAATCCTTCAAAAATATTCGATTACGGAAGGATAGCAAAATCGAGTGTCATATGTGTTTAGTCGTTTTTTATCAAAAAAGGGTTCGCCACTTTTTTGGGGAAAAAACATACATATAGTTCGTTGTTTCTTTGTGTTGTTTTTTTTGTTTTTTTTTTACAAAAAAAAAAAAAAAAAAAAAAAAAAAAAAAAAAAAAAAAAAAAAAAAAAAAAAAAAAAAAAAAAAAACGCGCGCGCGCGCTCTTGCGATTCTTGAGGAAATCCATGAATTGCTTTAACATGTTCCCGAAATGGAAATGCTACCAAACGGGCTTCGCGCGCGCATGTTGAAATCGTTCGGACGCCCTTTAGCGCGTGCTGGGGTGGCACGATCCGTATTTAATATTACCATGCGAGCCACTCGCGCGTCTGCCGCGCGCGCATTTCGAATTCCTTCCAAAACCTTCATCGCCGACGCGAAGACGCCGTCATCGTCGTCGGCGTGATCAGCGTCGGCGCCGTCACTGGCTGTCAGCATCGTCACGAGCACCGCTGCTATCATCATCGTGTCTACCGTTGTCGACGTTACCATGATACCGCGCCCGCCCAAATCGCCGACTCGCATTGAAGTGCCCCCTGGAATGTGCCGAGCGGTCAGCGCCACCGCGCGGTCGCATCGCGATCGCTCCCGCATGGGTTTTGCAAACCAAGTCGCGGGTGGGTGGGTGAGACGATTGTGCGAGCAGTGGAGTTGTCAACTTCACGTTGGGCCAGTGAATTGCACCACCTAGATTGCACTACCTGGACGGCACAGCATAGATTGCACCACGTGGATCGTACAACCTATGTTGCCCAACATTATTTGCACAATGTGTGTTGCACCACACCTGTTGCACCGTGAAGATATTACAACATGTATTGCACAACATAGAGTGCACAACATGGATTGCGACACGTTGACTGCTTTGCATGTATCGCACCACATACAGTGCAGAACGCAGATGGCACACCATCTATTGCACAATATGTATGGCCCCACGTAGATTGCACCACGGAGGTTGCTCCACAGAGGTTTCCCTTTTCTGACAGAGTCTTAGGATCTCACCCCCCTCCACGGGGTTAACGCTGCACCTTTTCGTACGCAACGTGCTTACGATGCTACCCCAATCGTCCATCCGAAATATGAAGTCATACCATCCCAGACAAGCCGGAGTTCGCACCCACTCCCCCCCCTCATCCACTGCAAATGCGCGAACATTCGATTACCAAACACCGTCAGTTTTCAAGAACCCCTTGCAAAACATGGGACGAAGTGCACACGCGCGCGTCGTCGCGCGCTCATGCCGGAATCCTTCAAAGGCTTCAGGTGTCGTAAGAATTTCGAAGTCGAACGCCCCGAAAACATGGGAAAAAACAAAGTGTCCAACATCAGTTTATACATATATTTAAATACAAGCAAAGAGAATCATAAAAAAAACACTACGTCCGAGCTCTTGCGATTCTTTGGGAAAACCATATGCTTCCAGCAGTGTCATCCGATTCTGCCAAGCGGGCCTTTCGCGCCGCATGTCGAACTCATTCGAACGCTCTTGCGCGCGTGCTGGGGGGGGCACGATCCGTGTCAAGTCATCCCACGCGGGCCACTCGCGCGCGTCGGCCGCGCGCGCATGTCAAATTCTTTCCGAAAATTTTATCACCGACGCGAAGACGCCGTCATCGTCGTCGGCGTGATCAGCTTCGGCGCCGTCATTGGCCGGGCCGTCGTCGCTGCCAGCACCGTCGCCAGCATCGCTACTATCATCATCGTGTGTACCGTCATCGACGTTACCATGATACCGCGCCCGCCCCCAAGCGGTCGACTCGCACTGAAGTGTCCGCTGGGAAGTGCCCAGAGGTCAGCGCCACTGCGGCTGCGCCGATCGCGCCAAGCTGGCTGGCCGCAGGGATGCACCATCCAACAAGCAATCATCGCAATCGCCGCCGCAAGCGTTTTGCAAAACAAGTTGCGGGTGGCTGGGTGGGATGATTGCGCGGGCAGTGGCGTTGACATACGCGAACTCCACAAATGAATAGCACAACATAGATTGGACCTCATAGATCGCACCATTCTTACTGCACAACACGTATTGCTAGAAAACCATTGTTTGGGGCCAACGAAGGCTAACATATACATATACATAGATTTACATATGGATTTCATTCGGTGCAAGCTCTGTGGTGGATTACACGTGGTGTAACCCATGTGTGCAATGTATGTGGTGTGAGCTACGTGGTGCAAATTATGTGATACAAAATACGTGGTGCGCGATCTATGTCAAGCAATATATAAGGAGCATGCTATGCGGTGCAATCTTTGTGGGGGAAGCATGTGGTGCAATCCAGATGTTTTTTAACTAATTCACGAGGTGCAATATACGAAACTCGCACAATCAAAATTGCGACCAAAATGCGGCGGCGACGGGCGGTGACGAGCGGCGACGGGGCGGCGACGGAGCGACCACAAGCTGGCCGGGCGACACACCAGCCCAGGGCGGCGGAGACGAGCGGCGACGAGGCGGCGACGTGCGGCGACGAGCGGCGACGGGGCGGCGTCGGGGCGACCACAAGCCGGCCTGGGTGACACACCAGCCCAGCTCTTTTAAAACCAAGTAAAAGAAGTCTCAGTGTCAGCACAGTTTGGGGAACATGTCTGGAATGATTCTTCCAACGACGACAGCGGTGGCGGCGGCGGCCGCGAAGACGACCACGACGACCACGTCCACGACGACCACCGCCACGACGACCACGAAGACGATGACCACGACGACCACCATCACGATCACGACGGCGGCCGCGGCGGCGACGCGCGCCAGGCCGCCATGGCGGAGCCAGCCCGAAAGCGGCGGAAAGCCGCGCCGCCCGCGGCGACGCCGCCAGCGGATGACGGCGGGCTTGGAGGCCTGGCCCGCGCTCAGCGCCAGGCTGCAGACCCTCGCAGGCCTTTTCGAAGCTCCTCGGAAGCCCTCGCAGGCGTCTCCGAAACTCTCAGAGGCGCCGCTGAGGCGCCTCGAAGGCCCTCGGAGGACCTGGGACGCCTTCGGAGGTGAACCGCGGAGGGCCTCGGATGCCCTGCGGCGACCAGAAAGGGTCCTCCGAGGGCCCAAGAACCACCGAGGAGGAGGAGGAGGAGGAGGAAGAGGAGGAGGAGTAGGAGAAGGAGAAGGAGGAGGAGAGGCTGGCCCCCTTCCTTCCGACCCCACAACTCTCGGTCGCCACCACCACCACCACCACCAACAACCGACCCTCGCCCCCGCCCCCAGCCCACCCATCCCCCGCACGACCTCCCCGTGGCGAGAAAGCGCCCCATGGGCCCCGTGATCCTCGCCCGCCCCGTCCTCGGGCGCATCCTCTCGGCGGCCTCCCTGTGGCCGCCAGCGGAGCGAGGCCTGGGGGACGAACCGTTTCTGTCCCAGCGCGAGGCTCGGACGCCCCAGGGGGCTCGAGACGATCCTCCAGATGCCCGAGACCAGGAGAACCTGCCATGCGGATTTTCGATCGCGGCGCCGCGGGTCTGGGCACCCTGGGTTGATTTCGGGCCAGAATTCCGACGGGGGGAGTCCAGCCGTGGCGACGAGAAGCATCCCAGAGTCCAGAAGAGCACGAAAAACGACGAACGACCTCGACCCGCGTTGGAGGTCTGGGTCTCCTCCTTCCTCCTCCCTGCTCGGCGTTCCCCCACCACAGAGGCCTATACGACTTCCTGCCGCCGCCGGACCCGGAGAAGGATGAAAAGGCCAAGGCCGTGGGGGGAGGATGATTGAGTTGTGAGTTGTAGTCCAGCGTGGGGGTGGGTTGACGCTGCGGGGCGCGGCGGCTGGTATTGAAGCCCATCGACGTTGACACTCTGGACGGGACAGCCTCGAGAGCGGTCTCGAGAACAGCCCTCACTGGAAAACAAGTGAGGGACGTAAACGTGGGGTCGATTGCGCGGACATTCGCGAGTAAGCTGCCTGCATCAGGTTGCGCGCAAGCGCATTCCTTTCAATTGGTGGTCCGCATTAGCGGCCTGTATGGTTCATCGCGCATGCAAGGTCGTCGCATCCTTGTGTGATGCATGGAAGGAGGTTCGATTTGATTGGCTTTGAGCGGATCGGCTTGAGAAGGAGGCGGAGGCAGTGCAAGGCGAGGGAGTCGACGGTGAGGGATTTATGGGGAAATTTGTTGGTTTCCAAAGGCGTTGCGGGCTTCTTGGGGATTCTGACGGGTTCTAGGGGGTCCGAGAGTGGAGGAGAAGGAGGAGTAAGATTGGCGGTGGCGAGAAGGACGACGAGCACGAGCAGAAGAAGAGATGAGGACCGAGGAATTGCGAGGGATGAGAGAAGGAGGAGGAGGAGGAAGAGGAGGAGGAGGCATACGCTACAGGTCGGTACCTTGCAACTTGCCCAAGAGAGGAGGAGGACGAGGACGAGGACCAGAGTAAACATCAGATGCACCAACGATGCTGCACTACACTCTCCCGCCCCACGTCCCTGCCCCATGAGCTCATGAGCCCCTACACGCCTTCCTCTTCACTGCGAGAAGCGCCACCCCTTGAGAGACCAGCACCCGAGGGGCCTGCCATTCAGGCGAGAGCCGCCCCGTTTTGGAAAGGATCTGCCCGTCATCCTCTCGGCGCGTACACCCGGGGACTGCGAGGAGCCTGTGAGCATGCAGCTCAGCGATCCCCGCTTTGAAACAAGAACCGCCCCCTATCGACATGATGGTTGCGCAAGCTCGCACTTCTGGCCACGCACTTCGAGGAAGCCTCCAGCGAGAGCCCCCTCCTCCTCTCCTTCCCTCCTCATCCTCCCCCTCCCCCTCCCCCTCCATCTCCTCCTCCATCTCCTCCTCCTCCTCCCCCTCCCCCTCCATCTCCTCCTCCTCCTCCTCCTCCTCCCGGAGAAGAACACGGGAGGCAGCCCCGCCCCAAAGAGCGGGCCCCGATTGCCCCAAGGCCGAGGCGAAGAAGAAGGAGCTGCCGCCCCTGCCGCCAGAGGACAAGTCCAGGCCGGACCGCCCCGCCGCGGCGGCGGCAGCTCTCCGACGGCATGACTGTTTCAGTCCCGGCGTTGTCCTTCGATGTCGGCTTGTGGAGCGACAGGAGGGACGTGCGCGTACATGAATCCACGCTGGTTTCGCAAGCAAGAGTTGCGCGAACGTGCGTAGCGCGAGGCTGGCCCCGCAGACTGGAGGTCAGTGCAGTCAAGACGCTGAAATAAGGAACAGTTTGGCTTCGGAAGGGGCTCGATGTTCCTTACGTTCCTCCAGTGCTGTTCCGCTTGCCCTCCTGGGGCACGGAGGCGTTTACAGGGCCAAGAAGGAGCTTCGTTCCTTACTTAGCGGTCCTTCTTTCAGCAGCCCGACTGTATCCAGGAGCGACAGAAGGACGTGCGCGTACATGAATCCACGCTGGTTTCGAAAGCACGAATTGCGCGAACGTTCGTAACGCGAGGCTGGCCCCGCGGACTGGAAGGCAGTATTTATGCACGTGGCCGGACGCGTACGTCTTCTGTGGGATCCCTAGTGATCGGGCCCCGAGGTTACCAAAAACGGATCCAGTAGGAAACACCGGCCCCTGGAGAACGGTGTCGGGACCTCTGAGGCCGCTCATGGGGAAAACGAGACAAAAAATCTTTGGATGCATTGGGGCCAGGTGGCGGCGGCAGCGGCGAGGAAGCGGAGCAGTCCGCCGCCAGCTCGCGCCGGGAGGGGCCGCCCGCCAGTCCGTGCCAGAAGGGGCCGCCAGTCCGTGCCGGGAAGGGCCGTGTTTTCTCTTCCAACGAGCGGTCTCAGAGTTCCGGATCCGTTTCTCCACGGGCATTGTTGTATCCCGGATCAATGTTTGGTGGTTTCGGCGCCCGATATATCACGGTTCCCAGAAGCCGAAATCGTGGAAGAATGCCGGGACTGAAACAATCATGTCGTCGGAGATCTGAGGCCGCCAGTCCGCGCTGGCTCGCGCCGGGTTTCGCGGCAGCTTTTGCGCCTCCGTCGCAGCGGCTTCGCGGCCAGCGTCGCGGCAGCTCGCGCTAGTCCGTGGCGGCTCGCGCTCGTACGGTCCGCTCGCGGGGCGGGGGGAGGAGCAGAAGCAGACACAGCAGCAGGGGGAAGAGGAGACGGAGGAGGAGGAAGAGGAGGAGGAGGAAGAGGAGGAGGAGGAGGAAGAAGAAGAAGAAGATGAAGAGGAGCATGGAGCAGGGAGGAGTAGAACGAGGAAGAGGAAGAGAAAGAAGAAGGGGAGGAGGAAGAGAAGGGGGAGAAGGAGGAGAAGGAGGAGGGGGAGGAGTATTGCTGGTACGCGCCAGGAGGGGTGAGGAGGAGACGGAGGAGGAGGAGGAGGAGGAGGTGGAGGGGAAGGAGCAAAAGCGGCTGGAAGAGGAGGAGCAGGGGGATGCGGAGAAGGAGGAGGAAGAGGAGGATGAGTGGAGAAGGACATGCCAGGGACTGAGGAGCGCATAGGGGTGGAGGATGAGGAGAAGGAGGAGAAGGAGGAGAAGAAGCAGGAGCAGGAAGAGGGGAAAGAACACGACAGCGACGACGAGGGCGAGGCGTGAAAAGAGGAGCGGAGGAGGAGGAGGAGGAGGAGGAGGAGGAAGAAGAAGAAGAAGAAGAAGAGCAAGGGGGAGGAAGGAGGAGAACGAGGAAGAGGAAGAGGAAGAGGAAGGGGAGGAGGGGGAGAAGGAGAAGGAGGAGGGGGAGGAGTAGTGCTGGAACGCGGCAGGAGGGGGAGGAGGAGACGGAGGAGAGGCGGAGGAGGAGTAGATGGAGGAGGAGGAGGAGGAGGAGGGGGTGGAGGGGAAGGAGCAAAAGCGGCTGGAAGACGAGGAGCAGGGGGATGAGGAGCAGGGGGGTGAGGAGACGGAGGCGGAAGAGGAGTTGGAGTTGGAAGGAGATGTCAGGGACTGAGGAGCAGATAGGGGTGGAGGAAGAGGAGGAGAAGGAGGAGAAGGTGGAGAAGAAGCAGGATTAGGAAGAGGGGAAAGAACACGACGGCGACGACGAGGGTGAGGCGTGAAAAGATGAGCGGAGGAGGAGGAGGAGGAGGAGGAGGAAGAAGAAGAAAAAGAAAAATAATAATAATAATGATAAGAAGAAGAAGAAGAAGAAGAGCAAGGAGGATGGGGGAGGAGAACGGGGAAGAGGAAGAGGAAGGAGAAGGAGGAGGGGTATGAGTAGTGCTGGTACGCGCCAGGAGGAGGAGGAGGAGGAGGAGGAGGAGACGGAGCAGGAGGAGGAGGAGGAGGAGGAGGTGGAGGGGAAGGAGCCAAAGCGGTTGGAAGAGGAGGAGCAGGGGGATGAGGAGAAGGAGGCGGAAGAGGAGAGGAGTGGGGAAGGAGATGCCAGGGACAGAGGAGCAGATAGGGGTGGAGGAAGAGGAGGAGAAGGAGTAGAAGGAGGAGAGGAAGCAGGAGCAGGAAGATGGGAAAAAAAACACGACGGCGACGAGGGCGAGGCGTGAAAAGAGGAGGAGGAGCGGCAGCAGCAGGAACAGGCAGTAGAAGTAGAAGGCCACCGTCGCGCTAGTTCGAGGCGGGTCGTGGAGGCATGCTTTGGCTTGCAACCAACATCGGCGATTGTGGTGATCAAGCCCATCCGCGGACCCGAGCGCGAAATGGCAGTCGAGCAGACGGCGGCCAGGCCTAAAGATAATCAAAGCTCTGCTAGACATCGGTGCTGGAGTTGGTTTGTGGCTTGTGCAGGGTATGGTTGATCGCTTTGTGCCCCCCCTCCATCTCCACTTCCGTCCCCCCCGAGGGTCTGGACTATGATCCTGCCCTCATCCAACCTCATCGATCTGTCGATTATCTCGTAGCACTCGCAGGCTCTTCGTTCTCTGCTCTGCTCTGATGATGATAAACAATACGTGCTGTTGTGGCTCAAGCCGCTTCGCTTCAAGCAAGCGGGTGCCTAACCTGTGTCGTAGGAGAGCAGGGCTGCGCGAGCGCCTGACAGCGGTTGCCACTATGGAGGTGTTCGGACTGGGGATCGCGGCCAAGGAACTGTTCAAGTACAACCGCAAGGCCTTCATGTTCGACATGAAGCTCCGGCAGGAGCGCGAGTTCCAGGAGCAGGACATGCGCGTCGAGCAGTTTGCCCTGTACCGCGAAGACGTGCGCGACCTTGTGGAGCTCACCGTGGCCAAGATGGACCTGTACCTCGTGTCCTCGGCGCTCCTCATCGACAAGACGATGATGCTCATATGCAAGCAGAGCGAGGCCTTCCCGCCCGAGGAGAATCACGTGCCGGAGTGGGCCATCGCGCTGAATTCCCTGTCGCTGGCCTCGGGGTCGTTCTTCCTGCTGCTCACGCTGTGGCTGGCGATGTACGCGTCCATCTCGGCGCAGTCCTTCGGCACCCAGCTGCTCACGCAGTTCGTGCGGCTGCCCACCGCCAGCGAGGAGCAGATCGCGAGGGCCACGGCCGAGGGCACCCAGTTCGAGGCGAAGGGCGTCGGCGACCTGCTCCGGGTGCCCGTTCTGGCCGTCCCGAAGCAGAGGGATGAGCCCACAGGTCGGGGGCGGCAAAGATGGGGGTGATGACTTAGGGGGGGGGAGGGGGGGGAGAGATCATGGCGGGGCCCATATATTTTTCTCCCCTGTCATGGCGCCTCTTCTTCCTTCAATGCGTCCCTGGCCCCTCCCCTGGTGCCCCCCCCTGGGCCGCGCACATGCCGCTGGCCATGATCTGCCCCCCCCCCTCTTGTACGCCCCCCTCTCGGCCGCCCCCGAACAGGCGGCGCCGCTGGCTCCGGCGACGCCGCGCGGCTCCCCGCGCAGGCGGCGGATGGCGCGACCGCGCCGCCGCCCGGCGCGCGGCGCTCCGCGGACGACGAGGCTGGGGCGGCCTCGAGCCTGCTCCCTTCGGCGATGTTGGAGCACATCAGGCTGTACCGCAAGGTGCAGCTCAATTGGCAGGCCTACGACGCGTACGCTCGAGTCTCGCTGTTCGTCGGCGCGAACTCGCTGCTGTACGCCTGCCTGTACTGGTCAATGGGCAATTTCTTATACCTGGAGCACGGGAGAGTCAGGGATAATTTCTTCCCAGCGCTGGCGACGGCACTGATTTTCTCTGCCATCCAGCTGACGATCACGCGCCTCGATCTGAGACTGCCCAAAAAGTACATGACGTCGATAAGCATCGTTGTGGTGCTCTCGCCAGTAACCACGGTCCTGGGCCTGCTTTTCCATGCGGATCTCATCCACCGCATGGAGAAGGGAGACACTGTCAAGCGCAGGAGGGACTACATGATGGACTTCCTGGCCCTGATGGCCCACAGCCTCCACGCACTGCTCATGGCGCTCGTCCTGCGCGCCTCCTGGCCCGCACGGTCTGGCACCGGCGACGACCAGACGCTGCTGCCCTCCAGATTCCGATCCACGCTCTACCTGGACGTCTTTGGTTGGCTCCTGAACCCCGGCGGCCCTGGAACGGGCTCGCGGCGCCACAGCCGCGGCTCCGCCAGCGGCGCGAGCCCGCGCGGGCCGGCAGGGTCCCCGACGGCGTCGCCGCCGCCAGACAGCGACAGCGACGCATCCAGCGAGCATGTGCCGTCTGAGATGCGGACGCCGCAGCGGTCCCGGTCCCGCCTGGGAGCATCGCCGCTCCGGCAGGAGGTAAACGCGCGGAATAGGGGCGGCATCTTCGCGTCCTGGGGCGCCAGCTTCAGAGACATGCTCACCCAGGAGCGGGGCCAGCGGGTGCCCCGGGACAGAGAGATGAACCTGAGCGCCGGCCTGAGGCGGGACATGCGGGACCTGATGACCCCAGATTCCCCAAGCAACGCCTCTAGAGGGACGTCAAGGAATTCCTTCACGAGGGCCACCTCTACTGGCGAGTCATACCGGAGGGGCACGGCGCGAGAACCTTCGGCGAGCATGACCCAGGAGCTCCGGTTCGGCGGGGCGGAGGCCTTGTCTGGGGAGGTGATGGAGCACCTGGACGACCCAACAAATCCCGAGGCCAGCGCGAACGCAGGAGGCGTGCCCGCGCAGAGGGTCTCGAGGCGTGCGCCGGCACCAGGCGAGACCCCGTGGCAGGCCTTCCGCCTAGGCACGTCGGTGATCCTGGGCCTGTGGGTGCTCAGCACCCTCTGGACGCTAGGCCCGCTGCTGGGCATCACCAGCCGCTGGGCCAGGGACCCCACCAGTGCCACGGCGCCCGAGCGGCTGGGTCCGCGCACGAGGCGGCCCCATCCCACGGACGCCGCGCGGCCCCTCGACGACGCCCGCGCCGCGCCGCCGGCGCGGCTGGCGCGTCGGGCGGCCGCAGACGCGGCTGGCTTGCCGCTCGCGGCCGCCGAGGGCCGCCTCCGCGTCCGCTCGGGCGCGGGGGACTGCCGGGTCCCCGCGGCGTCCTCGGCGGGGGCGGCTGTGGCATGCTCCGCCAGCGGCGCGCCCGCTTCGCGGCGATGCGTCCTGGCGCTCCTCCGCCGCGGCGGGCGCGCCGTGACGCTGTGCCAGCTGCGCCCTCGCGGCGCTGGCGCGGCGGCGGCGGCGCTGCGGGTGGGGTCGCTCCGCGTGGCCGCGGGCGCGCCCGCGCTCCAGAGCCTCGCGGTCGGCTGGAGGCCCGGCGCGCGCGGAAGCGGCGCCCGCGGCCTGCGGGTTGTCGCCTGGGCTGCCGGGGGCGCCCTGCTCTCGCTGCGGGCGGAGGGCCCGCCGCCTGCGGTGGCTGGCGGTGCCCTGAGGGCGGCCGCGCGCTGGGCGCTTACGCCGGAGTTCGAGCTGGATCTGTGCGGTGGGCTGCCGCCGCAGCAGGCTCGCTCCCGATGCGGCGGCGGCGGCGAACTGCTGGTGATCGCTGGCGAGCTGCTGCTCTCGGTGGAGCCCGTCGAGGAGGCGCCCGCGGGTGGCATTGAGAGCTGCAGTGCCAACGCCGGGTTCCGCGTGCGGGCGTGGAATCTCCTGGACGGTGAGCAGGAGATCGGCTGGCTGCCGCACCAGGACGCGTGGCGATGGAGCGCGGCCGAGGTGCTGCAGGAGCTCGGCGCCTCGCGGAGCGCGGAGGGGCCGACCTCCGGAGCTTGGCGCGGGGCGCGGAGCTGACCGCCTGAGGACGTAATTGTCTCTGGCCGACGGGCGCCTTGCCGGCCGAGGGGCGCCCAACCGGCTCCGCAGCACGGGGCACCGGGCTGACCAGCTGACTTGCTGAGAGCGTGGCCGCCCAGCTGGCGCCTCACAGCACCGCATCCTCGCTGAGGGAGGGATGGGAAAACGTCTGTATTGGTGTGGTCCCCCTCTGTGTAGACATGCATACATACATACGTACATTCATGCATACATATGTATGTGTAGATGTCGTTGTATCTAGACTGGGTTTCTCGGAAGCTTCATGCTGGGATGTTTGCCACATCCACCCAGGTGCACAAGTATGCATTAGAAATATGGTTAGATATCTATATACAGCTGCACGGAATCATAGATATGTTTGCAGGTGCATCCTTCTCTCTCTCTCTCTCTCTCTCTTTCTCCCCCTCCCTCCCTGTCTATCTCGGTATGTACGCATTCTGTCATTATGTTGTTTCCTTCGAAGCGGGATCTGCAGATGATTCCTTTGTATGGGGGATCTACATGTTAAGTCCTCCTGCGCGACGGAGTACGAACCGCGTCCTTTCGTGGCTGTGTAGTTCGGGCCCCTGTGCCCAGCAGGCCAGACGCCGCCGCATGGAGTTTGCCTGCGGCCTCCGTGCTGGCCACGTTGGGGAGCAGCACCAGGCTGTCCACCAGCTCGGGGCACTTGTTTGTCAGCGGCGACTTGGGTCCAAGACGCGGTCGGGGCCCGCCGATGGACGCTGCGGAGCCGAAGTGGAGACAGCGGAGAAAGACGGGCGCGGAGGGGCGAGGGGGGCCGCGGGCGGCGGAGCGCGCTCAGGCCGTAAAGATCTTGCACGTGCGCGCACGAGCATGAGCTCACACGGGCAGCACGCAGGGAGTGACGAGGCGGACTGTCGTGCCAGGGTGCGGCGGGTTCGGAAAACGCCGGGGGCCTCAACGCCGCGGCAGCCGCGCACGCAAGTCATGCGAAGCACAGCCCAGGTTGCGAGGGGCGCAGTCAAGACGCTGAGAGAAAGATCACTCCGGGCTCAGGAGGGGGCTGTTCTTGTATACTCTGGCGCGCAACGATCGTTACCCGCGCCAAACCCCCCCTCGGGTAACGGCAACGATCGTAAATTTTGGAGGAGGCCTGGACCCCCTCCCCCGCACACGCATGTTGGTGCCCGAGAAGGCATGTTGTGCCCGACTATGGCGGTCGCAGCGCACTGTTACCTGGGGCCCCACCCCCCTGTGGGTGACGACAGCTAGGCGGAAAGAATGAAATAATGTAAAAAACGGATCGACGAAGACCACGTCGGGCTCGGGAGGGCTGTGGCTTTCGGGTCGTTCCTTCGATTCAGATCGGGGAACTGGTTCGTGGCCAGAAAAGCCCCTTCGTTCCTTACCTAGCGTTTCTTATGGTATCACAACTATGGGTCTTCCACTTCGTCCTCTCAGCCCCGCCCCCATGCCACTTCAAGCGCTGCGTCGGTGTCGTCTTGGCGGTGGCCATCGGCAATTGGCCTTCCCGACCGTGGACGCGGTGCAGCGTGATCCCCGAGGGCAGCCAAGTGGTGTTTTACTTATTGCTGCAATTCCCCCCTGGACAAGGGGAACGGCCGTCGTAGTCCTCGTCGCATTGCCACTTGCAAGCGCAGCGGGTCCATGGTAGATCTGTTATGAGGGAATGGCCTGTAATCATGCGGTTGCCAGACGCACCCGCCATCTTCTTGCAGAGAGATCTGGAGCCCAAGGACGGTTTCAAGACAGCTTTGATAGCCCCAATGTGGGCCAAGACCGTCAAAGAGATTCCCCAGAAGCGCCCCAGAGGCCCCCAGCGAGCAAGAGTAGTAGTTGATCCCATAGCTGATCACACCAATTCGTTCAGAAGGATCGGTCTACATGTCCCACCATTTCTGTTTCAACAGCGCCCACGACGGTCCAAAAGGCTTCCAATACCTTCCAAAGACGGCACCAGAGCGCCCAGCGAGGCGTTCCTCTAACAGGCCCGACAGAGCTCCACGAGGGCCGCAAGAGGCCGTCAATATTCTATCAAGAGGGACAAGGTAGCCCCAAGATGGCCCCAAGAGGGTCGCACAGGATTGCGAGAAGCTTCGCGAGGGCCCCGTCAGAACACCCCGCAGAGCCCCGACCGATTATAGATTGACCGAGTCCCCTTAGGGTTTTGATAAATGTTAGTGTTCCCGCCGTTTCTGTCTGAAGAAAGCCGCCGATGGTCCAAGAGGCTTCCAGGATCGCCCCAAACAGGCCTGGAAAGGCCCCGCCGAGGGGACCCGATACGCCGATACGTCTTCGAGAAGGCCAAGATGGCCCAAAGAGAATCGACGAGGCTCTCAAGAAGCCCCGACAGAGCCCTAGGAGGACGCCCCAAATGCTCCCGACTAACAAGTTTGTTTGTTTGTTCGTTTGTTTGTTTGTTTCTGTTTTTATTTCTTTATTTCTTTCCTTCTTTGTTTGTTTGTTTGTTTGTTTGTTTTAGTTTGGGGGATCTCTTGCATGTTCGATCTTCAGAGCGTCCACGAAGGCGTCACATGCAAAGCCCCAAGAGACCCCAAGACAGCTTCGAAGCCAGCGAGCTTGCGGCATCCTACAAAAGGCCCTGACGAAACTTTGAGACCAGCTCCCAACATATTGAAAACGCTGCAGAGTGCACAGTGCTCTAGATGGCGCATTCGCTGCGCACCGAGGCCCACAACTCAATCCCAGGAGTACACCCCAGATGCTGGCTGTTTACGGATGGCAGCGCGTTCCGGAACACGTCCGCCAGAACGAGGGTGTTGCTAGAAGTGGTCCTGGTCCAAGGTGCCCCCAGCTTGTTTCGCTCCATGCTGGAGCCCCTGGGGCCCTCTGAGCCTCGTGGGGGGGTGCTCTGGAGTCTCTGAAGGCCGTCTGGACCCCCACCCCCCTGGGAAGCCTGGAAACACCTTGGGCAAGGGACACTTCTAGCAACACCCGAGGAGGGGCAGGAGAGGTCGGGGGAAGTGGGAGGAGGTGGAGGATGGAGGAGGAAGAGGAGAAAAAGGAGGAGGAGGAGGAGGAAGAGGAGGAGGAGGAGGAGGAGGAGGAGTGAGGAGGAGGAGGAGGAGGAGGAGGAGGAAGGGGGGCAGAAGAAGAAGGAGGAGGAGAAGGAGAAAGAGGAGGAGGAGGACAAAGGGGGGGAGAAGGAGGAGGAGGAGGAGGAGGACGACGAAGGGGGGCGGAGAAGGAGGAGGAGAAGGAGGACGAGTTGGAGGAGGAGGAGAAGGAGGGGAAGAAGATAGAGGATGAGACGGAGAGGAGGAGGAGGAGGAGGAGGAGCTAGCCCCAGCGCGGGATGCAGCGACCCCCAACCGCCCACTGATAGCTCACCCCGCCCAGGAACGTGCGGACTCGCCATCCGGTGCCAAAATCGCCGATCTGTCGGCGATGTATCGCCGATGCCAGCTCGATGTTCCCCCCCTGAGCTGATCCCCCCGAAGGTTGCCCCCCAGTCAGACTCTTTCTTCTTCGCCGCTCACGTGGGCAGGGTCGTCTTCCTCGACATCGACGGCGTGCTGCTCCCCGCCGGCAGCGTCGAGACCATCACGATAGACGGCGTCCAGCTCCCGGTCCGGGAGACGCTCGCGAGCGCACCTCGAGGGGGGGGGGGGGATAAATCGCTCCAGAGCGTTCTCGTACGCCCTCAGCATTCTGGAGCGCCCTGGAGGGAAAGAACGATCCCTGGGGAAGGGAGCGAGACCTCTGGGGGCCCGCGGCTCGAGGCTCCCCAAGAACAGGGAGGACCGCACTGGGAGGATCGAGGATCGAGGATTGATCGAGCTGGGCTAGAACCGGGATAAATCGCTCCCGTGCAGTGGGAGTGCCCTCGGAGCGTTCCAGAGCGCTCCGGAACGGCCGCCGCGCCCGATCCTCCCTCCAGAACCGCCAGATCTCAGAGATCCCCGATTTATCCTCGGAGCGTTCCAGAGCGCTCCGGAACGGCCGCCGCGCCCGATCCTTCCTCCAGAACCGCCAGATCTCAGAGATCCCCGATTTATCCTGGTCCGAGTGAAGGGGGGGAAGCAAGCAGACTCTTCCCTTACCCTCTTGCTGTTTTCTTCGCCCCCTGGAGGGTCGAGGCAGGCCCACTCCAGCAGCTGGAGCTCGACGAGAGCCTCAGAGCGGTAGTGCAAATGCTCCGATCGGCCTTCTGAGGGCCACACTCAGGCTCGGGAATCGCTTCGACAGAATTGCAACAGATAGGAGTCATCACGGAGGAGCGAGGAATGAGGGTTGTGGATGCTTCTCCCCCTTCGTGCGCCTTCGGGAGGCTCCTCGTCGCCGCGGCCGGATGCCTTTCGAAATTTGTGACCGTAGCCTGGCTCAAGGCCGCTCTGGCTCGAACTGGCCTCAGCGGCTGGCCGGCCGTGGCCGGGGGCCCGCCCCGCGGTCCTCGGCCTCCCCGCCCGCGGGGGCGCGCGAGGAGCTCGCCCCCCTCCGCGCCCCCGCTCGCTCTGCCATGGAGTCGCGCTCGGCGCGGCGGCGGCGGCAACGGCGCGCCGCCGCCTGCCGCGCCGCCGCCGCGGCCGGCCCGGCCGGCCTGCCGCCGCCTGGCCCGGCCGCCTGGCTGCCTCGGCGTGGCCGCCGCGGTGCCGCCGCCGCGGCCGCCGCCGCCGCGGCGGCCGCCGCGCGGCTGTTGCGGCGGCCGGCCGCGGCGAGACCGCCGCGGCCGCCGCCTGCCGCACCGCCGCCGCGGCCGCCCGGCCGGCCTGTTGCCGCCGCGGCCCGGCGCGGCCCCCGGCCTCTGCGTGGCTGGCGGCGCCGCCGCCGCGGCCGCCGTTGCCGCTGCGGCCGCCGCGGCTGTGGCGGCGGCCGGCCGCGGCGAGACCGCCGCGGCCGCCGGCGCTGTGGCGCGCGCCGCCGCCCTGGGGCCGGCCGCGGCGGCCGCTGCCGCCGCGGGTGCGGCGGCCGCCGCCGTGGCCGCTGCGGCCGCTGGCGGTGCCGCTCCCGCTGCAGTCGGTGTCGCGGCCGACGCTGCGGCCGCCGCCGCCGCGGCCGCCGACGCCGCGGGCGAGGCGGCGCTGTACACTGGATCCCCGCTGCGCGCCTTCATGTTCGAGAGCGAGCTGGGCGTTCAGGTGCTGCAGGAGGGGTTCGACGTCGCGGACGTGGAGGTGGAGGCGGAGGACGAGGACGTGGAGGTGGAGGTGGAGGCGGAGGACGAGGACGTGGAGGTGGAGGCGGAGGACGAGGACGTGGGCGAGGTGGACGAGGACGGCGGGGAGGAAGCAGTTGAGAATGAGCGGGGCGCGCATGACTCTGTGGGCTCCTGGGACCCCGCTGGCTTCACAGCGGAAGGCAGCACGGAGGATTGCGCCCGCCGACGCCAGAGGGAACCGAAGCACGGCCAGGTAAGCATGCTGGCGACTACGGGCTACATCACCCCTGAGATCACTGGCAAGCTGCCAGGGTTCCCGTCGCCGTCCAAGGGCCTCGCTGTCGAGGACGTTCTGAACGGCCCCTCGAGGGCCCTCTGCGACTACGAGAACGGCGGCGCCCTGGGCGTGCCCGACGGCAGTGCCTCGCTTGCCGGCGAGACCAAGTCCCCCAAGCTGAATGCCGAGACCGCGAACGGAAGGCTGGCGATGATGGCGATCATCGGGATGTGCTACCAGGATGGCCCCTCGAGCAGCGCGTGGGGCGACTTGGCGCCGTACACGGACCCCCCGCTGCGCTCCTTCGGGAGCGAGCTGGGCGTGCAGGCGCCAGTGTGCCTCTGGGACCCCGCCGACCTCACGAAGGATGTCGACGCCGCGGCCTTCAAGAGACGCCGCGAGACAGAGAGCAAGGATGGGCGGGTGAGCGCGCTCGCCACGAGGGGCTACAGCACGCCCGAGTCTGCTGGCAAGTGTCCTGGCGAGATCACCCCGTCTCTCGAGGTGAAGTTCGAGGACATCCCGAACGGTCTGGCTGCCCTCCCCACGGTGCCAGGACCAGGCTGGCTGCAGATCGTGGCGCATCGCCTCTACTGCGAGTCGGGCCCGTTCGGGTACAACCCGGACCCCACCAGAAAGCCCGGCGAGCTCGGACGGAGGCACATCGGTCCGCACAGCACCGACGCCACGGTCAGGCAGCGCAGGTTGAGTGCCGAGAGTGCCAACCTTCGTCTGGCCATTAATGAGGTCCACGTGCACGACCACGTCGACGACGACCACGACCACGACGGCTACGAAGACGACCACGACCACGACCGCGGCGACGACCACGACCACGTCCACGATGACGACGACCACGACCTCCATGGGAATCGAGAGGAGGCAGCCTGCAGTGACAAGGGCACTGCTCATACGAACGACCCCCCCCCCTCCAGCAGCACCAGCAGGCCATAGGAAAGGAGCGGGAAGTCACGGCGGAGGCTGCGGAGGCAGCAGAAGCCGCGGAGCACCCCCCTCAGGACAAACAGTCCGAGGGTTTGCCCGACGAAAGGCGAGCCGGACCCTTCGATGGAGGCAACACAGTCCCCCCGTCAAGTACACAGGCGAGCAGATCTCCCCCAGCGGCGCAGACACACAGGGCCAATCCTCCCTCATCCTCTTTTAATTCACTTGATTGTGCGGCTATCGGCTGCGTCTCCTCCTCCTCCCCCTCCTCCTTCTGCTCAGGACGTTTGTCCAACTGTGCATGGACGCTCCCCCCCAACCTAGCAGGAGCTGTCGCGAGCAGATTGCGATCCCCCCAGCCAGGACAACGAGGCCGTAACGTTGGAGACTGGCGGCCGGGATACAAGGCGGCACCAGGGGCCCGACACGCGTCAATGGCCAGAGCCCAAGGACCCCGACACGGGACAACAGCTGTACAAAACAGGAATCAACAGCGTCCAGTGGGACCTCCTCGGGGAGGCACCCGGCGAGGCGATGCGACGACTCCAAGTCGCATTGGGGCCAATGTTCACTGGCACCTGGCACGCTTTCGCCAAGCGGCAGTCGGTGCCTGGCGGCAAGGGCGCGCTCGACCCGAATCGGCGCGACCCGCGAACCTGCCGCCTCTTTCTGCAATCCTTCCGCAACCACAAGGGCGACGCACGGGTCCTCAGCGATGCGCCGGGCCTCGACGTCGACTGGACTCGGGCCTGGCAGCGGCGCCTGGGCCCGAGCGGCGACGTGAGCAGTGGTCACCATGTGGTAAAGGGCCACCCGAGCAAACAGGCCCCCAGGAAGCACTGCAGACAGTGGAGGGCCGTCTCCCCACAGTAGCCTTGCCACCCCCTCGCGGCATCCCTGCGAGCTGCTACCGTGGTAGTGTCCCGGCACCTGCTTCTTTCAGAACTTCTACGTCCTTTTCTCGGCTGTTGCCTACGTGCTGCGCGTGTGGTTATACCGTCGGCCTCAGTTCATTTCTCCCCTGTCTGCGTGCTGCGCGCGTGGCTATACCGTGGACAGTTCGGTTTTCTGCTCTGTGATCCACCTTCTCTGTTGACTACGCGTTGCGCACCGCACTCTGCAGCGCGATTGGGCGTCTCAGACTTCCCCCCTCTTGGTTCTGACAGGCTGCGGTCGGACGTGCCTTGCTTCTCCATTGGAGGAAACACGCTGCGTGGGCGACGAATGACTGGCCCCCCCTGGAGCGGTCGCAATGCAAGCAAAGAGTTCTGGCTTCATTACGCATGCGGTTCCCCAGACGGGCGCCTGCGCCCCGAGCTTCTCCTGGCCTCCCGCCCCCCGGTGCTTGGCGACGCGCTGCCCGTTCGCCCCGTTGCGTGGCGCCGGGGCCGCCGCTTCGGCCCGCTGGCTGCCCTCTCGGCGCGCGGTTCTTTGGCTGTCCGGGGCGCGCGCGCAACAACCAGGAAGGCAGAGACCTGTGGAGTGGACCCAGGGCACCACGAAGTCTTCAAGTGTCAGCACTGCCCCCCGCCAATGGTCCGGCGCGTTGATCCCCCCCGCGGTCGCTGAAGACCCCCCACTGGGATCGATGGAGGGATCACAGAGGTGCCTCCGACATCGGACTGTCGTTCCCCCCCTGCGGTCACCGGCGGCCCTCCACAGGGAGCGGTGGAGGGATCACAGAGGTGTCTTCAACCGGTGTTGTTCCCCCCGTGGTCACCGAAGACCCTCCACAGGGAGCGGTGGAGGGGCCTCAGAGGTGACTCCGACCACGCAGCATCGCCAGAGGCGCCGCCTCTCGCGCTCTGCACCTCACGCGCCACGCTTGGTCAGGCGCCGTTCCCCCCGCAAACGAGGTCCCACCGCCACGCGCCGTGTGTTCACAGTGGCCAAGGTCTCGCTGGGTTGCCATGGCGCCACCTTTCCCTCCTCCATTTATTCATTTGATGTTGCGGCTATCGGCTGCGTCTCCTCTTCCCCCCACTCCTCTTCCTGCGGTTTCGGCCACGCACGATCGCGTTGCACCTCACGTGCTTCCCCCCGACGTTGCGGCCCTGCAGCCGGGACACGGCGCCCCCCGGCATCTTCGGGCACCCTGTTCCCCCCGCGACCGAGGTCCTCCGCGTCGTGCGGTGCGATCTCAGCGGCCTGGGCCTCGCTGTACTCGCTGTGGCGACGCCTCCCCCTCCATTCATTCAATTGTTTTTGCTCCTATCGGCTGCGCCCCCCCCCCCCCCCATCTCCTCCCCCTGTGGAATCGGCCGCGCACGACTTCCCCCCCACCGAGGGTCTATGCACCGCCTGGCGGATCCCCCGCAGCGCTCCGTGGCGAGGGCGGGCCGCACTGCCACCTGGCGTTGCTCTGGCTGCTCGGGCCCCTGCCTGCCCCGGCACCGCCGGGGGCTGGACCTGGAGTGAATGCGGCGCGGCAAGTGGAACACCCTTTGCTCGTCTGTCGACGTTCCCCCTTCTGGTCCACCACGGCCCCCGTTCGACGCGCGCCGCTTGCCCCCCCCGCCCACCTTGCGGGGCAAGCTGCCCGCGCTGTTCGCCGACAACGTGATTCACCCCTGGGCGGGAGCCATCATCGTGATCCTTGTACTGCTCAAGTGGTTCATCCTTTGACTGTACTCATGCTCTCCTACGCGTTGGCCCATGCTGCTCGGCCACACCTGCTGCCGTTTCCCCCGTCGCCCCGGGTCAGGCAGTCAAGGTGCAGACTCTGCGGCTACTTCGACGTCAGTGCAATGGTCGTTGGCTCACGTCGGATCGCGCCCAGGAGTCCAAGTGATTGAGGCTTACCTGGCCAGCCCTCTTCTGCCCGCGGTTTCCCACCTCTCTCGCCTCGCAGTGGTGAGCGGTGCGCCCTCACGTGCCCACTGTCCTGCCACTTGGCTGCCCTGCCCCAGCGTGTGCTATGTGAACTGGATGGTTTGAGCTGGCGCCACTGTGCGACTCCTTTCCGTCTATTCATGTCTGGTGCTTGCTTTCCCGTTCGCGGGTGGCTCGCAGCTTAATGAGGGGCATTTTGCCTCTTGCAAGTGCACCTGTTACGTTGGCCTCGGCGCCTTCGTAACCAATTATCTCGCCCTGTGCCCCCGACGCGCCCGCCCCGCTTCCTGGACTCCCCCTTGGAGCCGCCATTCAAAAAAAAAGTACCCCCACCCGGTATGTTGCGCAAGGCTGCGGCGCATGAGCCCCCCCGTGAAGCGCGCCTGGCGCTGGCACACTCCAGCTCTGACCGCATCGGCGCGGCCCTGCCACCCCTCCTCGATGCACGTGTTTTCTGCGGCGGTTAGCTGCACCCCCCCCCCCCCCCCCGCATGCGCAGATGTTCTCGGCGCGCAGCTGCTATCAAGTTACCTGTATCTTGCGGCGGTTAGCTGCGCCCCCCTTCTCCACTGCAAGGTGCACTCTGAGGGTGGCACCCACTGCTGGACAACCAAGTGACAAGGGACGCCCCGGCGCTGCTGCAGGCCGGCCGCGGTGAGGGACGGCGCGCCTCCCGCGTGGCCCGGTCGGCGCCCCCCACCGTGCCTCAGGGGTTCGCCCGCGGCGGCTGCGGAGGCCTGAGCGGTTGGTTCGACGGACAGGCAGCTCGGAGGTCTCCCCCCCACGGGCCGACCCTCTGCGTTGTCTGCGGCTGGCATCGGTGGGCCTCTTCACAGCAGGAGGGCACTGTGGTGCTCGGGCAGTCGCTGGTGTCCACCGACACTGAGGGTTGTGTGCCTGATTGCCTCGCTTTGAGTGCTGCAGCCTGGCACAGCCCGCGTTTTTCGCATCGACGCCACCATCCCCGGGCCTTCCGCGCAGGCGCCGGACTCGATGCGACGGGCGCCGCCGGCCCCCCACACTCTGCGGTGGAGTTCGAGGGCTGCGCGCTTAGTGGTTCAGCCTTCCGCGCCTTTTGCCCCATGTTTTCCACCGCCAGCAGCCTGTTACCCTGGCTCGTGCTTCGTTGCTAGCCGGATCGGCTGCTCGGAGTTTGGCGCCGCAATGGCGACTCACTCCGTTGCACTCGCACACGTGGCCGCTTGTACACTTTGGTTTACTGGGCGGCGCCTAGGTGCGTCTGCTGGTGAATGCTGAGAATTTTGATCAGCACATGTGCATCTGCACGCTTGTTGTGCAATGAGCTTTGCGCCGCCCGCCCCAGACGTTGCCTCTCGCCGCCAGACCGTTGTCGCGCGGCCGCCGACCAAAAAGTTTCCCCACCCGCCCGTAGCCTCTGGCTCAAGCCGTTTCCCGAGGGCCCCCGCCCCCCCCTGGGGCCGGGGCTCGAGGTGGCCAGCGCGGCTTGGGCGGCGCGGCCGGGCCCCGGCAACGAAGCTGCCAAGGACCGGCCAACGGACGTGCAGGGCAGGCGCGGGCAGGCACGCAAGACCGAGGGCGAGCACGACGCGCCTGATTGGGGGGATGACCCAGGAGCCGCAGCAGCCACAACCAAGGAAATGACGGAGGAGGGGATGGAGGACGAGGTGCGAGGCAGCCGCTGCTCGTGCGGTGCCGTGGTCTTCGCGCCCTGTTCGATGGGCCCTGCCCACTGCTGGTCACGCGGTGGGGCGATGCGCCGCGGGCCGTTTGCCTCGCCCGGCCAGATGGCCGCGGACGCGGTGCCGACGGATGACCACGGGTACTCGTCGGCGAGCTGTGCCGTGGGCGACGACGCTGCCGCGGTAGGTGAACCCGCGCCAGCACGCCGTGGCCGAGGGCCCCGCCGCGGCCCCGGGACTTCTCCCCCGCGAAGGAGGTGAAGGCTGCGAGCCTCGCCCCGGAGGAGACCGCACCGGAGGAGGCCGGCTCCCGCGGGCCTGAGGGGTGTGGTAAGTCCGTGGCTCCCACCGTGGAGGAGGTCGCGGAGCCCCTCGACGAGAGCGTCGTTCGAGGCGGGGAGCCTGCCGTTGAGGCCGACACCGTGTCGGATTTCGACGTCGAGGACTTCCTCACCGAGATGTTCTCGGCCTCTGGCGGCGGGGACGCGGTGCACATGGGCGACGTGGTCCGCAAGCACGAACGCCTCAGGGTCGACCTCGAGCTCGTGGCCGACTACATGGCCTCGGACCGTTTCGCGGAGGTCTTCCGCGTGGACGGCGAGTACCTCTTCCGCGCCAGCGCGGTGCAGTCCTCTCCCTGAGGCTGCATGGGGGGTGTCGGCCTCAGGGTACGGCCCCAGCGCAGTTTCCACGTCGAGG